ATTTCAATTTTGATTCCATTTAAAATTCAATTGTTAATGCTTATATTGATATAATACAGGTAAATAAAATGATCAAGAAATGTAGAGGGTAGGGTACTACTGGGGTGCTGGCTTCTTGTAGTGGGCGGGCAGGGTGGGCTTGGTGTCGTAGCAGACGTGGTGCCACAGCTGCTGCTTGGGCTGGTCCTTGCGCGAGCCGTCGAGGAACACGCGCCTGCTGAGCCACCAGATCTTGAACTCGTACACTCTTTCGTAGTAGCCGTGCCGCTTGTTCCACTCCCTGGTGGTGCGCCGAAGAATGTTCAACGACCGCACATGACACGCGCGACACGCGACACGCACAGCATGATAGCAGAAGGAGAGGTACCGGCAGATGTAACGACCCCAGTGGAGTCGGATGGCGGCGTTCGCATGGTTGTTGTTGACCTGCTCGTAGAATTTAAACCATCGATGATTGCCTATGGTGTCCGGCACCGACGCTGGCGGCGACCAATCTACACAAGCGCGCAAATATCAAAAATAAAAATCTAAAGAACTCGCTAATACTTATGCTACGCGACACAACATGACACACGACTCGCGTACCATTGAGTGGAACGCCCTTCCATTCGAACATTCCCCGGTCTCTGTGCATTTCCACGATATCCTCATTCACCAGCGTGCCCTGAACACACACACCAACAAAACGTCGTGCACGCGATGTTAGTAAGTGGTGTGCGGCCCCGGGGGGAGAATCCAAGAGTGTGTAGCAACGCATACCTCGATAATGTACCACCAGGATGCGTCGGGCGGGTGCGGTGAGAACATGTTCCACGCCTGATCGATGTGCAACGTATAGGCCACCCACTGAACGAGCGCAGCCCGGGCACGCGCCACGGAGCCGCATCAGTCAGTCTGGGCTCATCAAACGCGCACGTCTGTACATTTCGCCGCTGAGCGGTTGGGGGAAGAGGTGGAGAAGGTCGAACCCTGATGCCTTGCTTCGGGACCCAGCGAGAGACGCCGATGTTGTTCATGTTCCTGTTTTTGACGGAGAGGGAAACAGTGTGAGCGGCGGCGGCGCAACCAACGAGAGAGGGTGATGGTGTAGTAGTACGCACCAGCCGAATACGAAGTAGACCAGCCAGAGACAGAATAGATTCCGCAGCAGACAGTTCATGGTCCTGAGCGTGAACAGGTGCCTGATGCTGAATCGCTGATGGTTTTTCTTGTGGTGGAAGGACGAGTTGCGCTTGCCGCCGCCCCACTGCTGCGCCCCGGCGTGAGTGCAAACGATAACGAAAACGAAAAAGTGTGGGGAGGAATACGTTCGCGCCGGTATCGGCAGAGTCTTGGCGGTCGCTGGCGCGCTTCAGCTTGATGTCGTGGCGGAGTGCATGGAGACGCGGGCCGAGCACAAAGTGGAGGGAGGCCTCGACGACGACGTTGAGGCAGAAGCCGAAGCGCACAAAGTGGCGGGAGAGGGTGTTCGAGTTGGTGAGGCGCGTGAGCAGCCAGCCGAGCGGCCACAACACGGGCGATGCGTAGCACAGGCTCACCACAGCCCTGAAGTCCTGATGCACCTGCTCGGCACAAACACAGCAAAAACCCAGAAAAAGAAAAGCATTAGGGCGTTCGTGTCGGGATGGTACGAGTGACAGCGACGTACGTGGCCCTGGTGATCGACGGCAACCAGCGAGGCATCGACCAGGTCGGCAAACGAACGTGCACTGGCACCGCTATGTTGTGAGCGATTATGACCCCTCTCCTCTTCGTCCTGATAGCTGTCGGTGGCGTCATCGTCGATGCGGAGCTCATCGAGCGGCTTGACCTCGGTCTCAGGAAACAAGCAGAAGGTGCCCACCACCTTGGCGAAACGCTCGTGAAACCGGAAGAGCGATCTCTTCGTGTAAAACAGCTCAAACTGTGTCCTGGAGATACGGAGATACTCGCGTGAGGCACAGAGCGCACGCACACGCACCACCGCACACGCACACGCGAGATCCATACCGTTCGGGCGTCTTGGGCAGGACATATTTGAAGAGAAACTCGTCCCAGAACCAAGCGGGGAGGAGCACGCAGAGGGCGGCCTCGGCGGCCCAGAAGAAGGTGGCCAGCCGCATACACAGGCCGAAGCCCAGGTGCATGAACATGTAGCCCACGACGCCGAAGAAGCGCATGAATCCCGTCTTGTAGGGGAACACCATGCAGAAGGACCCCAGCCACTCCCTGGCAGTGCGCGCGATCAGACACTGACAGCACACGGACACACGGCACACACGCACGGCACGACCAACGATACAGAGAGGGACTTGAGAGTGATGAACCAGTAGTAGACGGCGAAGGTGAAGTAGGGCAAGAGGTGCGGGTGGAGAGTGGCGAGCATCAAGTCGGCCATGGGCATTCGGAAGTAGTCCAGCTGCAGCGCAAAGTAGGTCGCTGCGGTTGCAACAGAAAAGAGCGTCAGGATCACGACGACGATGCTGGCGACGATGACGTGAGCCTCCACGCGTAAGCTCAAACAAGAAGAAGAAGAAGTGCATACCCGTGCCCGTCACTGACCACTGATCGCTAGTCTTGTGGTAGACTGACGTGAAGTACATCAGCCCCACCTGCACCACACCAGCAAGGTTATTGCATTTCTTTTATTGTGCAATAAATAGAAGAGGGATGCGTGCCTGCATGAGGACTGCGAGGGTGCCCGCGTTGATGAACGAGTACCGATCGCTGGGTGAGGGCTGTGGCGACCCGACGAGCGTGGTGAACGTTCGATCGTGCGCCTCCTTCCGCTCCATCTCGAACGACGGCGACTCAGAAGCAGCGGCGCTGCCGAGTAGCGAGGCGAAAATGGAACGGATCGGCGAAGATGAGGAGGTGTAGGCTCTGGATGTACCATGTCGCTTCTTGAAGGCAGCATCGAGGGAGAACACGTCACCAAGGGGAAGGAAGAGAGCCCAGAAGAGGCTCAGGCGAAGAAGCACATCACCCGAGTGGAGAACAAGGATGTTGCGAGATTGAAGCGAGGTGGTCAGGAGCCACACCGAGAAGGCGGCCTTGCGCGAGTGCCACCCGACCAGCATCGCCGTTGCCGCCATGAGATGGATGGCAAACATAATCGCCATCGCCCACCAGCTGCCTCCCCACATGTGCAGGGAGAGCCACGTAGCGTTGGTGAATTTCTCCAACACGAGCCCTCGAGGAAGAACGCCAGCATCGGTGTAGTGTGCTTCGAGATCGTTGGCGCGATCGACAACATCGCCCAGCACGGTAATCGCAAGCGCTACGCGAAACAGAGCGGCGCTGCGTTTGTCTCCACCGAACGCGATTCGCAGGTAGGGCCATACGTAGAGGGTCCAGAGTTGCACGAGACGCTGAAATAGCATGGCGCCCCGCGAGTGCGAAGTCGGAGATGAGGGCGATGTGGGCTTCACTGTGGGTAGCGAAGAATCTAAGGATCTTCTTCGTGCATACATCCCAACCGCAGCATGAGAGGCTGTCTCACCCCTTCCTCCTTCGCCGGCCTGTCCTTGATCCTGCCTCAAGTTACAAATCACCAACTTGTGGCGTCAATCTCGCCAAACGATAAGCTGGGAGTTTTGCATCTCACGCACTTTTCGCAGCAGTCTCAAAACCTCCGATAAGTTTGTCGACAAAGGAATGCCAGCAATGAGAGAAAGCGAAGGAAAGAACGGAGGTGCGGGAGGAAGAGAAAGCGGAGAAGGCAGAGGTTGGTGAGTGAAGGGGTGCCGTAGCGCGTGGCAGATGGACGTTCGGCCCGGATAAGCAACGGGTGGCGCGCTGCAAGTCCTGAACTCCTTGGGTTGCGACGAGCTGAAGAAGAAGAGGGGACGAAGAAGTGTGGGTGCAGGATAGCTGATTTATTGCAATCCGCAGTTGTTTGAGAGCGAATAGACGGCACTGTCGTATTCGTTTGATTGCCGAGCCGAAGAGCTTCTCCTTCTCGCGCGTCGAACTATCGACGCCGAGAGCAGAGTTGCCCTTCGTCGCCGGCAGAGATAATTAAGATAGAAGAGAGAGAGGAGAGAAGTAACGAGTACATAGTAATCTACAATATAACGTTGTCGCGGTAGTGGGGGGGAGGAGAGAGAGAGATGAGGAGCTGCGCCGCTTAGTTGCAGTAGTGCGCCACCCACTCGGCGAGATCGGAGCACTGGGTGGCGGGCAGCTGGTCGGCCAGAAGATAGGAGTGGACCGGCTGCTGTTGCTGTTGCTGGTAGTAGTGGGCCTGCTGCTGGTGGTGGTAGGCCGACGCGCAGTTGTCGACGACGACGGCCGAGGGCATGGAGGGCACGCTCCAGCCAAAGTCCTCGGCGAGGTTGACCTGGTTGATGGCCGAGAGCGGCATCTCGAGGTCGGGCGACACGAAGTCGTAGAAGGCCGACGGCTCGAAGTAGCCCATGCTCTGCTGGTGCTGCTGATGCTGCTGAGGCGGCTGCGGGATCGCGAACTGGGCCTGGGCCTGCGTCGACACCGGACGAGACTGCTGGAGCTGCTGCTGGAGGCGCATGTTCTGCTCGTGGCCGGAAATGGAGTGGCCGGCCTCGTACGAGAACGACGTGCCGGGCGACTCCTCGCCGGGCGTGATCTCGAACTGCGGCAGGTCGAAGTTGAACTCGACCTCCTCGTTGCCGTTGGCGCCGGTGCTCGACGCGTCGTCCGACTCGTACGACGTCATCGTCGCCGTTGTCTTCGTCATC